GGGGGTTATAGGAGAACTCTCTGTACTTTCCGCTTAATTTTGCTGTGAACCTAAAACTTCTCTAAAAAATAAAGTCTATTTTTTAAACTGGATCAAGACAAACTCTGAAATTTTGTTTTTAGTAACTGAAGAATACAGAAGTATAGAGGGTTCTTTGGATTGCCAAGCTGGTTGCCAAAGGTATCTTAGCCCATCATGCCCAGTGTCTGAGGCATGCTAGAAATGTCCCCTGTAGGGAGCAAAATGGGATCATTCTTGAATCCCCGTCCTTCTCACACAAAAAGGTTGGGAATCACTGGGAATATATATGTAAAAGCACTTTGTATACACTGAAGTATTCTATAAACTAAATATGAAATTACTATTTCTGTCCTTGAGTTGGAAAGATCACTCAGAACTTAAATAGAAAGACTATAAATGGCTTTTAGTCTAAAATACTAAATATGTGGTAATTGAAGAGTAACATGGGGTTTCTTTCTTTTTTGATTTGCAGATTCAGAATGTTCTTCATGAATTTTTTCAAAATCGAGATTTTGATCTTGGTAAGTCTCTCTATTACTTTGGTATTTTTATTTATATTTTTCTTTTTGGGAAGGATACTGAATTCAGATACTGAATTCAGAGTCAATATGGAAACAGAGATTATTCAGAGATCTTAAAGACATAATTAGTCTCTTCTGCTCTTTGTAGATAGACAATGTAGAAAAGCAGAGAAGCAATCAGTGATTCTCAATCCTTTTAATCCAGTGCCTATTTTACTACCAGTATGCTGTAATACCCTTTTATTGTCCTATGACATTCCTAGAAAATATTACTTACATATACAGAATTTTAAAAGAAAGATATAATGTCATAACTGTGATATAAAGAAGAAATACAACGAAAGACATAAGAAAATTATATGTGCTGTATTTCAACATATAAATGCTTTGTTATAACTTCACTAGAAGACATAAAAGAGTAGTCAGAAATTTCTACCTACTTATAATGAATGTTTAGATAGAAGAAAAGTAAAATTTATATACAATTGAATATTTCTTTGTATTTTACATTTGAAATAAGGACAAAATGAGTGGATTTGTATATATACATAGAATCCCCATGAATACCTACAAATGCAGACTGACACAGGTATGTTGTATTAGAGTTCAAAGACAATTTTTTTTTTTTTTTTTTAGGCAGAGCCTCACTCTGTTGCCTTGGGTAGAGTACAGTGGCATCATCATAGCTCACTGCAACCTCAAACTCCTGGGCTCAAATGATCCTCCTGCCTCAGCCTCCCAAGTAGCTGGGACTACAGGCGTGTGCCACCACACCCAACTGATTTTTCTGTTTTTTTGTAGAGACGGGGTCTTACTCTTGCTCAGGCTGGTCTTGAACTCCTGGCCTCAAGCTATCCTCCCACCTTAGCCTCCCAAAGTACTAGGATTACAGGCGTGAGCCATCGCACCCAGCCAGAGACAATTTATTAATATAATATTACTTCCTATTATACAATTTTCTGAAATGGTGAACAACTCTTAGTAAAGCTCCAGAATGAAATAAAGTACAATCCTCCTTCAGATTTTCACAGTAGTTACATTCTTGGAGAATTCAACAGCAAAATTACATTCTGCCTTTATATGTAAAATAGAGTTATATTTTAGATTCAAAATTAATATAAGCAGATTTTCACCTACTTGAATGTCTTGCAGGAGGGAGAAAGTCTTTTTGTGCAGGAATTGCAGGAGTTCTGCCTCTACTCCTACTCCCCATCTTTGTGGCAATAAAAACTCACCCACAAATTTCTACCATGCTCCCTGAGAGGAAAAGAGGACAGTACCACCCCTATGGAGAACCACAGATTTGGTTGCTTTTGTTTTCAGAAAGATTTCCCTATGTGAAATTAGGTGAAAAAATAGATTTGTTCCACAAAGAACTAGAGTTTGGGTCCTGAGGTTTACATAATTTATATCCAATTGTTTTTTTCAATTGATTTTTTGATCTCTTGTGTTCCATTGATAACAATAGATTGTGACTTTTTCAAATAAAATATGCTTCCCATATTCCTGAGCACTAGTTCCCAAACATGATTTGGGCCTTGCTGATAATCTTTTCTCCTTCTACCTGTTCTCAGCCTATACAAAAACTATAATTCTTCCATCAGCTCAAACTCCACTTCTGTTTCAGAAAATTATTAAAATAACTTCATTCATTCATTTATTTTTGGATGGGGTTACAGAAGAAGCATGTTAAGAGAACACTATTTGGAATCCTGATAAAATTAGAGACATTCCAGACCACTACAGTTGACAGTGATTGTCTCTTCTCTCACCTCCTGTACTATAGTATTTATTTTCCGGTCCGTTTATTCATTCATTCTTTATTGAGCCCTCACTTTATTCCAGACACTGTAATCAGGTAGAGAATGCAAAGAGGACTGACAAGGCATGTTTCCAGCCCATAAATTCCTCAAAGCCCAGTAAAGGGACAGACACCTACACTTAATAGCAACTGTTAATAGTAGAAACCAGACTGGTCTGCATAATCATTTGGAGCTGTGGGGAAGGTCTGGGATGGGGTTATCAGCATCAAATGCATAAGCTTGTATGAATACAGTCCTCTTGTGGCCACAATAGCTGGTATCTCATAAGTAGCACTTAGAAAATTCAAGAGAGACTGAAAAATCTTTTCTATGCCCTTGTGCCGGGCCGTGATAGGCAGGAAGAGTTACTACTAGAAGCAGGAGAGGAAGCCAGTGTATTAGTTCTTTCATCTTGAGCTTTACTACAAGTTGTGTGCTTGTCTCTTCGGAAGATCAATAAGGATTACGTAATTTTCATATGAAATGGAAGCTTAAAAATCTTTATTTAAACTCATTGACACATTTACCAGCACACATTCCCTATTATCGATCATTCTGCTATTCATGAAACTCTTTTTTCCTGGCTTTTGGTTTTTTCTTCTACCTTTGATCACCTCCTAGTATTTTTTTTTTTCTTGTATTCTCCTTTTGCTTGCACCTTAAATGTTGTTTTCCAGTGTTTCCTTTCAGGCTCTCTGATCACTTTATACACTATAAACACTCCCTGAGTTTTCTTATTCAAATCTGTAACTGCAGCTTATGACTCCCAATCCATAGTCTCATTCCAAACTTTCCCCAAGCTCCAGATCTTTTTGAAAAAATCTACAATGAGTGGTAAGTGAAAAAAGCAGGTTGAAGATCAAAATGATTATATTTATATAGAGAAAAACAAAAGATATGTGTGTACATATATATATGGAAATGCATAGAAAGGTTGCTGGAAGGATGATGACAAACTGTTGACAGTGGTTATTTCTGGGGCAGAGGAGAGTAAGAGTGCTGATGGGGGCTAGGGAAAAAGGAAGATATTCATGTTTTGCTGCTTATATTTTCATATATTATGAACATATTCATATATTATTTATTTAATTTAAGAAACATTAAAGGCCAGGTGCAGTGGTTCATGCCTGTAATCCCAGCACTTTGGGAAGCCTAGGCAGCAGGATCATTTGAGGCCAGGAGTTTGAGACCAGCCTGAGCAACAACATAGCAAGATCCTTGTCTCTACAAAAAAAAAAAAAATTTAGCCAGACGTGGTGGCACATGCTTGTAGTCCTAGCTACTTGGGAGTCTAAGATGGGAAGATCCCTTGAGCCTAGGAATTCAAGGCTGCAGTGAGCTATGATCAGGTCACTGCACTCCAACCTGGGTGACAGAGCAAGACACTGTCTCAAATAAATGAATGAATGAATAAATAAATAAATTTTTTAAAAGAAAGTTTGTAGAGGTGTCTTGTTTTAGGACCTGATAGCATAAACACTAGCATAAACCAGCACAGATGTTTTGTAGTCTTTTATACTTTTTTTTTCTTTTTTTTTTTTTGAGATAGGGTCTCACTGTGTTGCTCAGGCTACAGTGCAGTGGTGTGGTCATAGCTCACTGCAACCTCAAACTCCTGGGTTCAGGCGATCCTCCTGCCTCAGCCTCCCGAGTCTTTTATACTATTGATATGCATATTTGCTTCTGCTTTATCCCGACCTAGTCATTAGAAATACAGGCTCATTTTTTAAGTATTTGTGTTGCTTGATTAACTAAAAGCCAGGAAAAATAATAATTTTGTAGTAATTGGGATGTTACCCAACTATATATCATTCACTTTATTGTAATATGGATAAACATTAGTTGAGAAATAATTTTATGTTCTTTTAAAGCACTATAGTGTAAATATCAAATATGAATGTATTACAACTAAGCTAACTAGGAAATAACCTTTATTCCATAATTAGAATCACATTGCAAACAATTGGATATTACTGACTCAACGGAACCAAGATTGGGCAAAATGGAATTTGCAGAAGTAAGAAGTTACATTGTTTAATATTTGAATCAAATTATTTTGCCAGTTGCAATTGTCTTTTGGTGGATGTCACACATACATTAACTTTAAGTTAAATGAAAGCAGAAAAACTTATTTTATCGATTCCAAGATACTAATATATACTTTAAAATATTTTAACCCCTCTGAAATTAAGTTATATCTTACAATCAAAGGCATCTTACAATTTCTTTCCATCAATGACACTCATGATGTGAAAGTGTGAAAAACTTCCACTGACGCCTTCTGGTAAGATCAAGAAAAACCAGCATCTTATATTCAATGAAATCTGGTTATACAAATAATAGCGAGATCTAAAACTTAAAAAACTTTTCTATTGGCCAGCCATTGTCCTAAGCTATTTATGTGAACTTGGGTAATACTCTCAGCAACCCTTATCCTCTACTGTTACAGATGAAGACGCCAAGGTGCAAAAAGGTTAAATAACTTGCACATGGTCTCACAATTAGTAGGTACTGGGGAAATTTGTATTGAGGCAATTTGGTTTCAAAGTTTACATAACATTGCATCTGAGAAAGTATGATTCTACTGTAACAGAATAAGTGAAAGAAGCAATTTAATGGTACCAGAGTCCTAAGTCTTACATAGCCCACTTTTGTATTTTTTCATGTTTCTCTATTTCCCCTTATTTTTTTCTAATGAGTCCTAGAGTTTTTCTCTTTCTCCTCTCACGCACCATTGTTCCACTGAAAGTGAAGAATACACATTACATACAGTTTCAAGATTCTGTATGAAGGATTTCTAGAATTGTTTTTGAAATGATTGCTGTACAAATAAGACTTCGGAAAATCGCAGTTATGTTCTGCATTTTCTTAGATTCTATTTGGTGTCTATTAGTCATGGGCCAAACTAATGGCCAAAGTTGTTATATCTCCCTTGTAATCCAGAACCCATACTACGAACCACCTCCTTGCTATTCTCACATGCCAAGCCAATATTTCTCCTGCTCTAAATCAACCCAGGGCAGGCATCACACAACCAGAGACAGCCCTTGTGCCCCAAAGCCTTCCAGAATTATTCAAACTAGCCAATCCTAGCTGTCTGTGCTGCCTTCCCCTGCATTTCCTGAGGAAACCCCAATAAGAACTCTGGCTTAGGCTTTCCCTTTGCTCCTTCCTGCTGCTGCTGTCTCCTGACCAAAACCTGATGCTTCCCCTGTGGCTCTGCATGGCATGGCATCCTCCCTTCTCTTGGAAATTTTAAGTAATACAAATCTCCTTTCAATGGCATTAGCCTCTCCACGTCACCCTTCAATCACCTGTACAAATTAAAATCCCAGAAATACAAATGAGACAAGCTACTTAAAAATATGCAGAACAAGTGATAGTATTAAAATGATTCAGGGAAAGTCAAAGCTTTATCACTTTGATATAATAATAAACATAACTTACATTTCTTTGCAAGGCACTGATTCTTGGTGCTACTTGCCTGTTTGTCTTATATCTGGTTTCCCTAAAAGTGGGCAATTTAGGAAATGTTCTCATTTTTTTAAATTATGAAAGTAATAAGAATTTTATATGTGTGAATTATATCTCCATAAAAAAGTAATATATGTTCACTATAGAAAATTAAAGATAGAAAAGTATAAGAAAGTAAAAAAATTTAAATCCACATTCTACCACCAATAAATAACCACTGTTAAAATTACGATATTTTTCTTTGTATAATAATAGCTAATATTTTTTACCACTTTTTTATGTGCTATAGGGTAGACTGAGGGTATTGCATGCACGTTCTTGTGTAATCTTCACAACAATTTAGTTATTATTATCCTCATTTTGCAAATAAGACCTAGGATTGAACACTTTCCTCAAATCGCGTAGCACGTGACAGAGCCAGACTACAACCAGGTCAGCCTGACTCCAAAGCTCATCATTGCTGTTGATCCTTGTGCTTTATAGTGTCTATTATATTCATAAGTGAGACGTGAGGTTTTATTTTTAATTTTGTGTTTCTTCCTTATGGATTTTTGGATCATGCCTAATATATAATTGTATATTCTATTTTTTTCCTTTAACATCATCTCTTGATCATTTCTCCATATCAATACATATTCTTTAAGAGATGATCTTTTAAACTCTTTTCTTTTTTTTTGAGACAGGGTCTTGCTTTCTCGTGCTGGCCTAAGTACAGTGGTGTTGTTACAGCTTACTGTAGCCTCCAAATCCTGGGCTCAAGCAGTCCTCCTGCCTCAGCCTCCCAAGTAGCTGGGACTGCAGGGATGTGCCACCATGCCCGGCTCATTTTTGTATTTTTTGTAGAGATGCGGTCTTGCTCTTGCCCAGGCTGATCTCGAACTCCTGGTCTCAAGCAATCCTCCTGCCTTGGCCTCCCAAAGTGCTAGGATTACAGGCATGAGCCACTGCACCCAGCCTATTTTTATTTTTTATATATTTTTTCCTTTTAACAAACCTGAGTTTGTGGGTTTCTTTTTAAATGACATCTTTTATTTATTTATTTTTATTTTTTGAGATAGTCTTGCCCTGGCTAGAGTGTGGTGGCATGATCATAGCTTACTGCAACCTCAAACTCCTGGGCTCAAACCATCCTCCTGCCTCATCCTCCCAAGTAGCTGGGACTACAGGCATGTGCCACCACACCCAGCTAATTTTTTCTATTTTTGGTAGAGACGGGTGTCACTCTTACTCAGGCTGGTCTCAAACTCCTGACCTCAAGTGATCCTTCCACCTTGGCCTTCCAGAGTGCTAGGATTACAGGCGTGAACCACTATGCCTGGCTGAAGTTTTTTTATTTTTAAAACATTTTTTGTATAGATGGGATCTCTACATGTTGCTCAGGCTGGTCTTGACCTCCTGACCTCAAGCAATCCTCCTACCTCGGCCTCCCAAAGTGCTGGGATTACAGGCATGAGCCACCGTGCCCAGCCCATATCTTGTTTTAAAAGGCTTCATCTGATACCATGCTGGATCTTATTTGTGTAACGGGAAAAAAAGCAAGGTTTGTACTTCGGAAAAGGAGAACTTTATTTCTCATAAAGGCTTTTACAGCCCACAATGGCCATTCAGCAGGCTGGGAAATAGGGCTCCCAGCGACAAGCCAGAAACATGTGCTTCAAGGGAAGGACAAGGAGAACAGGATTTTATACTGAGCAGAGTGGCTAAATATACATATTTAACAAGCTATAGGAAGAGTTATGAATATTTATGAAAAGAGAACTATGCACCTGCGCAGTGGGGCTTTCAGTCCTTTTATGGGGTCCATGTTTAAAAAGGGCCACTGTATGTAAAACAGGTGAAACCAGGACACAAAAACCCCCTCTGCGAATGTTCTGTGGATTGTTAAAACCACTTCATGGTTGGTGGTCTTTTATCAGGAAAGAATGCTGGTTTGGCCCTTAGGAAATAAAGCCTGATGGCCGTTAGCAAGGGAGGGGTAAAATGATGTGTGTCCGACCTCCTATACCATCAAGGCTGGGGGCTCAGTTTCAAGGTTTTTCTAGGGTCCCCTTGGCCAAATGGGGTCCATTCAGTCAGTGGGAGGCTTAAGATTTTATTTTAAGTTCACATTTTATCTTGTTTTAAGAGACTTCCTCCTAAGTGGGCATGAAGATCGAAGTTCCCCATTCAGTTTCCCTAGACACTTGGGGGCAGAGGAAAGCTGCTGTGTTACTGCTAAGTGGAGGTGAAAGTACCAGCTTTCTACCTGGTTTGTTGTTGTTGACACCACCAGCAGGGAGGGAAAGAGGCGTTTCCGTTTCGTTATGACTGAGTAGGGATAGAAGTCTAGGTTCTTTCTCCACTTGGCCTTTGCTAATGGGCGTGGGAATGAGGCCATAGTTTCTTCTGTGGTGTTTGGCTAGAATAGGGTGGTTATTATCTAAATTTTTTCTGTCTTTCTAGGTTGCCCCTTTCCTACTCCTTTGGCTGGAGAGAGCAATCTTTTCTTTTCTTTTTTGTTGTTGTTGGTGATGATGTTGTTTGTTTTCTGTGCTCCCACTGGAATTTCTGAGTTGCCAGCTTCTGCAGCACCCAGTCTGGAATATATGAGGCAAAAAGAAACCCGGAGTACTCACCACTGTGTGGTGCCTGGGGTCCTGAGGTCCCTAGCCAATCTGCTATCTTCTCTCTTCCTTTCATAGTCTTCTTAAGATTGTAATACCTAAGGTTTTTAGCTGTACTTAAATAGGAGGAATAGGGAGAAGTGCATCTTCTCCATCTTGATCCTTCAAACATTTTAATGGCTACATAATATTTTGTTATATGGTTATATCGTAATCTATTTAATGATCTCTTTATTGTTGAACATTTACTTCTCACTATTCACTATAAAAATTAGAAGGTTAGTATTTATATGTAAATCTTTGTTTACAGCTTGCTATGTACTAAACTGTGTCCCCTCCCTCAAATTCAGATGTCAAAGTCCTAACCCCTAAAGTGATTATATTTGGAAATAGGGCTTTTAGGGGGTACTTAAGGTTGAATGAGATCATAAGTGTGGGGTCCTAATCTGATAGGATTGGTAACTTTATCATAAAAGGAAGAGGGAGAAATTGCACTAAGGAAAGGCTATGTGAGGACACAGCCAGAAGGCAGCCATCTGTAACCTAAGGAGAGAGATCTGTCAAAAGACAAAATTACAACAAATTTAGTTTGAAGATCTCAATTGACTTTATTTGAGATTCTAGAATCAGGCAACATTTCATTTCATAAAATAGAATAAGTGCTCACGTGAGCTGAGCAGAAGAGGTTGGTTTTGTAGACAGAGAAGGACTGAAGAAAGCAGAAACAAAGAACAAAAAGTGGACTGGTCATTTCAGTTCCTTCCCTTGTAAGGTAGAAACAGGGAGACAGAACAATAGAACAATAACTGATTGGTTAACCTCAGGTTGCTTCAGGTTAAGGATTAAAACAGAGGGAACTTCATTATCATTCTGATTAAAGATTGAAGCTGGCCTGTTTGAGAAATTGGTTGTTCTCTCTCTCCTGATTTCTCAGAAGGTC